AGGCTTTGCTAATGATGAATCTGAATACAATGATGCCATTTCAGGATTGGTATATGTTTCAAATGATCCAAATCCATGTTGAGAAAGATGATGGTGATCTTGATTCTTCCCATGAACTAATTGATATGTTGCAAAATCAAAGGCTGAGTTGCCGTCAAATGTGATAGACTCATACAAGAAAAAAAAAAAGAGAAAGAGAGAAAGAATAAGGAAATCTTGCTAACTTAGGTTGAATGATTGTCATCATTTTGAGGTCTAAAGTGAAAAGCTCAAGGATCAAAGGCCATCTTTCATGAGCCTAATTCCCAAACACCTTACCCAAAAGTGTCATCCTTTTGTCAACCAAGTTGAGTCTAAAAAGAAAAAGTAAGCCTTTTCTTTCATACCTATCCCAAAACTGGGATAGTTACATGCCTAATTGGGGGGCAAGATCATATTGCTAAAAGCCATGAAGGGAAATCTCAAAAGAGTAGCAAAGTTCAAAGAGAGCAAAAGCTCAACAACAACCAAAAAAAGAAAAAAGAAAAAAAAAAGAAAGAAAGATAAAAGAAAAAGAAATGACAATGCAAATGTCACATGGAAATGGTTGAAATGGCAAGCTCTTAGCTAAGGCATGTAACTTGGGGGGCATGTTGGGAAATTTTGAGCCTTTAATTCCCATTCCTTTCACAAAACCTTAACCAAACCCCATTACAACCCAAGGAAAAGTCCTTTTTGAGGGTTTCAAAGCTTTAGATATCAAAATGATGGCAATCATTAGACTAAGGATAGCAAATCATGATCAAATTCAAGAGCTAATAGATTCAATAAAGAGTGGCCATGTCTGTTTATCCTGAACACTTTACATTGTCCATAGTCACCCCTCTTGAGCTAGAAAAAGGCAATCATCCAAATTCAGAAAAGCCAAGATGATTTTCTTCTTGTTAACCCACATTAATGACCAGGGTTGTGAAGAGAGAAATGTGAGGGAAATATATGAAGGAATTGATTTTGAGCCTTTATCCTTTCTTTCATAATAGCCTAACCCCAAGCCATATTACAAGCCTATATAAAGTCCTTATTTGAGGGTTTGAAACTTTCTCTGTCAAGGAACATTAAAAAAAAAAAAAAAAATCCTTTTTCTAGTGAGTCCAAGTCAACTCGATGGTTTATGATTGGTCTTCTAAACATTGAAGGTTAGTTCATGGGAAGGAGATAGATTTGATTTGTCCACCTTGGCATGGAAGTAGACATTGTCTTATTTGCTAAAGATTGGATTGGTGGAGTTGCAAAGAAATAAATTCTTGAAGCAAATGCTTTATGACCCGAATGTCTTCTAACCCTGTCAAAAATTGTTGCATCAAAAGTTATGCACTTCAAAAACTCTTGTTTATCTCAAAATCACATCATTTTTGAAATTTCATATTATCCACATTCTACTCTTCTCTTTTTATCCATTCATATTATCCATGCCTTGGCCTTCTTCTCATTGTTTAGATGCTGATTGGTTATGATGCTTTATTTCAGTTAATATAATCGTTGAAATCTCTTGACAAAAAAAAAAAAAAAAATGAAAGTTGCAAAGAAAAGCAAAAGCTTGATTCAATGGTCATGGTGCTTATTCTCTCTTGCAATGATTCAAGAATTTTCCCCAGTGAACTAGAGATGCTCTTAAGTTACTGAACTTTATCCAAAACATGTCATCAAGCCTATCAATGAATGCACGACATTGAGGACACCTGACTCCTGCCGAATAAAGACATCCACCATATGTTCAGGGAAGTTTCTTAACCTCTCTTCATTTTACATTATCTCTTATGTGAAAGTTGTCTCACTTGTATCTATTTCATTGTTACAGATCTTTCAAACATTACCATCATCCAGCCCCTTGGTCACGCTTACCCTCATTCGGCCTCATTGCCACTCAACTTACTCGGTTATAAAACCGTTTCTTGTGTGGTTATAAAACCATTGCTTGCTCAGTTATAAAACTGTTTCTTGCTCGGTTATAAAACCGATTCTGCTTAACTAGCTTGGTTATACAACCATGGCTACTCAACTTCCTCAGTCGTTTGACTGTTGCAACTCAACTTGCTTGGTTATAAAACTGTTCCTTGTTTGGTTATAAAACCATTTCTTGCTCAGTTATAAAACTGTTCCTTGTTCGGTTATAAAACCGTTTCTACTCAACTAGCTCGGTTATACAACCGTTGCTACTCAACTTGTGGTCATAAAACCATTTTACTTTGATTGTTCGGTCATTCGATCGTTGCGGTTATAAAATCGTTTTCACTTTCCTTGTTTGGTCATTTGACCGTTGTGGTTATAAAACCATTTTTACTTTGCTTTTTGGGTCATTCGACCGTTGCTGTTATAAAACCATTTTCACTTTCCTTGTTTGGTCATTTGACTATTGTGGTTATAAAACCATTTTTACTTTGCTTGTTCGGTCATTCAACCATTGTGGTTATAAAAC